ATTCAGTACATTAGACAGGGAGCTTGCAGTGACATTCAGTGCAGATGAGATGTGCAATATGATGAACTAAAACACACCGTAAGTACCAGTTCAGAGTTGAAGAATTTTTCCATGTACCAGCAGTAACCTTGTTTTTGTAACTTTTAACTTTCACAAGCTCATCTACATCCTACAACCTGAAGACTTTAATTTATTGAGATCAAAAATCAGTATTGTCCCTTGTGTCATGACAAAAATCACTAAACCTTTTAAAAATGCCTATTCACATCATTCCCCTCACAGCCTGCCAGTGGATAAACACACTCACAGTATTGTAGATATTGACCTCTGGGTCAAATCAGTAGCATCAATATTAAAAGCTCAATAGCATCCATGGTTAAAGGACAATAATGTTTATTAATGGCGTTGCTGTAATAGCCTCAGGGCCAGTTCAAAATGTTAAGAGAATCAAACATTAAAGATTAATGGAGGAATTCAGTGAGTTTACTGACAGATGATTGCTTTTTAAAATAAACAGTGCATACATGTTCCTAAATATTACTGACAGCCTGCAATCATGATTGCTTGATCTGTTTTATCTATTCAGGGAATGGTTGAAAAACAATACTGAGTAGTTTGATTATTAGTGTTGCTCAGGGGCACACCGGTAGAGCTTAAAAGTCAGAGCACTGGTTAATCCGTCTCTTGACCCTTCCTGATCCTTCAGGCTGCTGGTGTTTTTAGCCTCCGTGTCCACCTCTCTGTCTCCCCTGATGTTGACGTGTCACTCAGGGACAGTTTGATGATATTTTCTGTTGTTATAACAGCAGAAGGTAAACTTGTTGGTGTGATTGTTTTGCTTCATGGAGGTTGAATGTGGAAAATAATCTTACCTCACACTGGGACTTTAATAGAGAAAAAACATAAGGGTGTATACGACATTCTTTCGAGGCTTTTATGAGCCAAGGAAATTGTGATCATACAGTTACCCTGCATGAAACGTCTCGATGAGTCATCTTGCATCCTGTTGTCGACAGACATTATTCGTCAGCTGTTCTCTCAGAACTGAAACTTCAACATTGGGATTTGGCTCAGACCCTGGGAAGCCCCATTTGGTTTGGGTGTGTGAAAATTACTTTTTTTTTTTCCTCTACTTTTTCTCAGTATCTTATGTTCCATCATAGTGAGGCTTTTTATCTCAATATGGGGTCAGCGTGTTCTGTTCTGTCTGTTCTGTTACTGTTGTCGTCCAGTTGGTTCTTGCAAGCAGTGCCAGTGTGTGTGTGTGTGTGTGTGCTTGTGTGCTTGTGTGTTTGTGTGCTTTGTGTTTTTGACTCTGCATTTGTGAATAATGTGCTATTTGAGGGTAGAAGAGCATTGACAGCCATACAGCTGTTGTTGCAAAGACACAGAAAAATGATGTTCCACTACTGTTTTTCAGAACACCATGCTTTAAGTACCTCACCAAATGTTTTTGGTTATCTTGATGTCATCAGGGCAGCTGTTTCCTGTTTTCAAAACATACAATCTATTGATTTAGTAAACAAATGGATGTGGTTAAAGTCAACAAATATAGTAATTTAAGTAAATTTGTGTTCGGATTATCCACAAATATTAAGAGATGTTAAAGATTTGAGTGTCTAGGTGCCTATAGTGCTAGGAAACTGTAGGAAACTGACCATATGCTCTCTCTTTTTGTGTGTGTGTGTGTGTGTGTGTGTGTGTACAGATATGGTAAGTCTTTGTAATGTTTTTCTCCTTCCTACTCTGCTTTCAGACTCTTATCAGACCCACACAGAACAAAACTTCTCAGCTATTTCAGTTGTAAGGAGAGCTGTTTGTTCTTGTGTGGCAATCAGGCCACAAGACTGTTATCTTGGGAATTGACTACAGCTGCAAAAAAATCCCATCAAAAGTACTTTATTCCTCTTATTCCCTAGCTAATAAGGAACAGGCATGAAATCTCACTTTCCATCATGACAGAAAATAAGGGTGCAGTTACTCAAGAAGAGTGTCAATGTAATTTTCAAAAATAGTCAATTGGGGAGAAAGAGGGGAGAGGAAAAGGGGGGAGATTGATTTTACATTCTCTGAGTCGAGAAGTGTTTGATTTCGATTAGGGAACTTGCCCATAGGCCAGTCATCGCTGTTTTGCACAAATGGTCTTTTTTATCATTATCGCAGCACAGAATAGTGGCACTGTCTGTTGGTCGATGTCATCAGATTATAAAACTTTTTCCAATGACTCCTTCAATGATTCTCTCTGTCCCCCTCTTTATAGTCCTTTCTTTCTAGAGTCTTTGTGTCTTTACCACTCTCTATGCTTCCTTTTTTTGCTGGACAGGAAGAGCAGGGCTAGCCCTAAAAACTCAAATATCGCTGACTGAGTGAGTGATGATGTTACACCAGCGGTCAGCCGACCGCGCGTTGGAGTTTCCCCATTGGTCATTGGTCTTTCAAAATGTTTTGGCATAACCAAGCAGTTTTGGCAACTTGGCACCGTTGTCACTTGATTATTTGACTTTTTTCAAACAAGCACATATGGCTGTCGCTGACAACAGAAACAGAAAAATGTGTAAATGAGAACCCCTTTATTGGGAATTCGGCTGTATTAAAATACTGTGTATGTGAGCACAAAGAGCAGGAGAGAAGCGAACGGATAAAGGTCTGCAACCGGCTGACACTAAGCAGAATGCTAATAGCCTATGACACAGTCCAGTCATATATGTGGTTTGACCTAGTCTTGTTTGTTTTTTAGCGTGCCAATGTTCATTCACCACCACCAGTTTAGCTTATATATATTGTCTTTATTGCGCATTTATGGGTATGTCATTCATAAGTATTGTCCTGTAATTAATGCCATGTCCATACTTAGGTGACTAAATATGAAAACACATGTATCCTCTCTGTCCTGGCCTTCCACTCACACCAGTATTTTCACACCAAAAAATGTGCTGAAATATTGGTGTCAAACTGTAGTCTAGATGGAGGAATAAAGCTGTTTTAGAATGATGACTCGCTCAGACACGGGGCAGGTGCTGAGCCGCAGTAATATCACCTTCAGCTCTCTGAATGCTACCATTTAATGTGATCCTCTTGATTGTTGTTATGGTACAAGAGGTACAAAAGAAGCTACCACTGTGCTTTCACCACAAGTTAAACAAGAATTTAGTATTTGGTTTTATGATGTGAAAGCAAGGTGGTTTATGTGTAGTTCAATATATTGTATGAGTGTCTTACCTTGTCGTTTACTGTTGCTCCATACATGCTTACATCACCCCATTACCAATGATGTCTTCCGCAGTGTGTGTGTGTGTGTATGTTTACCAGTACATGCTCAGGTGTGCATGTGCATGCCTTTGTGTTTCCACTTTTTCCCTTGAGTGTATTATCCCCTAATGTATGTGTATCGTAGCACAGGGGGATGGTTTAAATGAAGTGGTCCGGTGCTCAGGGGCACGTTCACATTGGTTTAGCCGCTCTGGAGCGCTGCTGTGTGTGTGTGTGTGTGTGTGTGTGTGTGTGTGTGTGTGTGTGTGTGTGTGTCTCTGTGTGTCTGTGTGTGTCTCTGTGTGTCTGTGTGTCTGTGTCTGTTTGAGAGAGAAGTGGGGGAGACAGAGAAAACATTGTGCAGCAGTATGCTGATATGAACATGCAGCAGCAGTACTCATTTACGGAACATTGAATCTTTGGTTGTGAGTGAGTGAGTGTTTGGAAACATGCTGCTGTAAATACATGCAGATATGAGTGAGTCTAGTTCAGGTACACAAGTGCATTTATCCCTGTGAAGGCTAAATGTCCTCACAAGGACGGAAAAGTAAATCCTCCAAACCAAGGATTTCTGCAGGGTCTGTTTTTACTGGTCATGTTTGCTCCAAGTCGAGGTCGTGGTTAAGGTCATCAAATGTTTAGTAATACCACCTGCACACTTTTATTGCTGTTGCCATCTTGACAATTTCTTCTGAATTTTAGGAAAGATTTATGTCTGTATTTATAGCTGTGTAGTGGTAGTTTTGCACCCATTCAATCTGTTCCTGTTAGTGAGGAGTGTTTCATATAATAGGTGCTGGAAAATATCTATTTTGTTGTTTAGTTATACCAGAATATATGAGACACTTAAGCAGCTGTACATGCCAAGGTGGTTTTAGAATTGAGTATCACCATTAAGTTATGAAAGGTTCTGTGCAAAAGTGGCTTTGACAAACCTAGCAGCAACTGTTTGATTTGATTTTGATGGAAATGTCCGACCTTGTAACAAAACAAATAAATGTGTAGAAACAGTAAAATGGTGAGAGAAAGATGAAAAAAGAGACTAAGTTCTCAACAGGGTACACATCTACTTCCTGTCTGTGAAACTCTGGTCCCCGTCCTTGACACCTCTTGTCGCTAAGCAACTCACCATGACAGCAAGTTGGCCGCTCCTAATTGGCTGCCAGTGTTAGTAAATGCAGTATTTTATGGCGTTTATATCATGCGTAACTTTTTGAAGTGACAGAATTAAAGCATCTTTATCTCTAATGCAGAGCTAAAGCTGTAAGTGCGGAGCTTACAGTGATATTTCTGCAGGACAGTCTGTGTTTGAAGAGGACTGAACGTGACCTTTTAATTTCAATACTATGTTTCCAATAATTGTATTTTTGAATATAAATATGAAGCCTTCCTAATACATCTATATGTGCTAATCTAAAATGATACTGCAATTATGTGTTTAATTTGTCTAGTTTAAGTTACGTCTAACTTTTATTGGTTATATTATTGGCTTGTATTTTCTATGAAACAGGAAACTATACAGTATTTATTACTTTAATGCTGTAAGATTATAGTGTTTAGTAGTTATAATGTCTGGGTTCTTTCATCTTTGCTTTTGTTTTGTTTTGATTGGATTTTATTACTGAGATTTGAAATTTGAGGATAAACAAAATGATTCTAACTTCTTCCTTCCTGTCCCTTTCTTTCTTTCTTTCTTTCTTTCTTTCTTTCTTTCTTTCTTTCTTTCTTTCTTTCTTTCTTTCTCTCTCCAGCTTTGTCCCACAAAGTCGTCAAGTCCAAAGACTTCAGTCTCTTTCATTGGAGTCCAGGTTGGTCACCTGATTTATACTACCATCTTGCTCTGCTTACAACTATTGAAGTTTTGTCTTATTCTTCACCTTATGGCTGTTCCTGTTTAGTCCTACCAGGTCTCATCTGGATTAAGGCAACAACATCCACCGAGTCCTCTGCCCGGTCCCAGCTGAGTTCATTCCAGTTTTTAGTGGAGGCCGGTCCAGCGTCTCAAGCTGGACGGAGGGGAGACGAGTGGGGCCGAGGGCCCGGCCTTCGTGCTCCGACACAGAACTTCAAACCTCATAGAACACACCACAGATAGCACGCCTACAGATCCCATGAGTCCCCGGGAGAAAGGAGACACGCCCACCTCAGGTTCTTCAACCAGTCACCTCAGTACCGCAGAGTGCCCCTCACACAATGGGGTGAGTATCCAACACACACACATACAGACATGCTTTCATCTGGTTGGTCCAATGCCATATGGCGCAGTATGGGTCGACTGGTCACACAGTAAAACTATCCCACCAAAACACACACGCCCTCACATTAATAATTAAATAGGTGTTGTTAGCAGGGAAGTATGATATTCTGTAAATGATGCTGACCAGCAAAGTCTCTGTGTAATGACTTCAAAATCCCAACATGCACCTTTTTCTCACCTTTTTCTCAGCACCTTTTTTACACCATGTTGCTAAAAGCAAAATAGAAGAGTTTCTCACACACACACACACACACACACACACACACACACACACACACACACACACACACACACACACACACACACATACACACACACTCGTGTTCATTAGAAATAGTAATTAGTGTTGTAGTGTAATCACTTGACCACAGTCTGTTGCCTCTGTGTGTGTATACAAGATGCTTTAGGACCAGATTTCCTTTGAAGACCTAATGTTTCCACAGATCAAAAAAGAAGATTAAACACCAGAGTTAATTAAACACCAGAAGATCATTTGAACATGTTTAAAAGGAGTGTTTTATAGGTTAAGAACTAATTTAGATTTAAAGTTGGTTTAGGAAGATTTTTGGGACAAGTTCTACTTTAGTTTTCTTGATGGGGTAATTATGCTTAAAGCCTTGACCATTTAATATTAAAGCATAAAAACACACAAGTATATAAAATATAGTACACGATGAAAGAGTCATCAAGTAACACATTATTGGTCTTCCAGTGAGAGGCAGTAAAATTCAAAGCTGAGACAGTGTATTCATGACTACTGTGAAAACACGCATGAAAACTTGTGAGCTTGTTTACATAAAGATGCATATACAGTGAAAAAGACCACAGGATATTTGTTTGAAAGAGGTAAAGACATATTCAGTATACCAATAGTGTGAATAAAAAAAAACAAAAAACAGGTGTGTTCAGCTACCATAACGAGAGGAGTTGGGTGTATATTGCCTTGCTCAGGGGCACCTCAGGAATAGCTGCTGAAAGAGAAAAGTGGCTTATGTAATCAGTTTCTCAGGTTTGATTTTGCACAGTTTGATCATGAGCCTGTTTCCCGAGCATTTCAACCTCCACCACCACCTCCACTTATTATCGACACCCTCACCACCTTCAAGGCTTTTGAAAACTCGACGATGAGTCACTCTGTGCCATAGTAATTAACAGTGCATTATAATAAGGATGTCTCAGCTCCGCCTGATGTTCAGTTTTAGTCCCACTCCAAGGTCTAAAGTGATGTGGATATTGAACGTGTGCAACATTCACAGCCCCTAGAAATAGGCTTGCTATGTCTATATACAGATGTCTTCCTGGAAGGAAAGTAAACACATTACCAAAAATTTGTGTGATTAGCATCCCATGACGGCAACGTATCGAACTGATCAAACAAACGCGCCAGATACTCTCGCTCGGAGGCATCACTTGTGTTCCCTTTTAGACTGCGTGTTCATGTGTGTATTCAGACAAAGCTGCCGCTCTGTTGTTCAGTGTGAAAGGCAATCAGTATAGAGCTGTTGATCTGAAACACAATAGTGTTCGTGTGTGTGTGTATTGTGTCTGCTTGTGTGTGCCCTTTTTACCTGCTGTAACACAACACGGATACCTGAGAGGAGGCCAGGGGCCCCCTGCCCCGATCAGCAAGGGCAGGCTGTCTTAACACCCCACAGGCCGCCCTTTGAATTTTTTAGCATTTTCAGTAGGTGTTAAGTGTGTCTCGAAATTTGTTTGTGAGTATGCGGTATAGTTTCTGTCTCTTGTTTTGGTCTTTTGATCTATATTTTTGTCAATAATTTTAACAAATTACATTTTTTTTTTTTTTTTCAAGTTTCCTGTTTTCCAGACCTTTTTGAACTTGTCCCCATGAGATTGTGTTATTTGTGTGTCTTCCTGATCACACCCCACTGTTACAGAAAAGAATTTTGGAAACAATAGCTGTTTACCTGCCAACAATCTCAACCGACTACCTTAGTATGACGTATCATATGCAAATGTGTTTCTCAGAATCGTTTTTAACAGACCATTACAGTTGAAACATGTCATAAAATGCCTCTAAAACTAACACCCTGAAACAGTATAGTATTCTGTTTATACTGTATATGCCAAACTTCCAGTCTCATTAAAATTCAATTAAGTCTCTTTTACAGATCGTTTAATTCAGTTCACGTAATTAAGACTCGGAGGAATTTTAGACAGCTTTAGCTGTTAGGTGAGTCAGTTTCATTTGACGGTTTGTGTGAATGCAGCTAATGAAAATGAAGATTTTCAGGAGAGAGGAGAAGAGATCCTGCCGAGACATAAAGGTAGCCGAAGAACCACATAAAACCTAATCATGTTATTCTGTCCTTAATCCAGAATACGACTGTGTTTTTACATAATACAGAGACAATAGATACTTCTCTCTAAACATTAACCTCAAACTCTGAAACAGACATGTAATGTGCATTCAGAGGAATGAGAAGAGGATATTGTCAGCCTTTGGAATTTTATTACACACAGGCACGCACACACTTTGACCACAAACAACAAAATAAGGGAAATACCAAAAACTGAACAAATACCTGTGAACAATGCCTAAGATTTCGGACATTAAAGTCCCCTGCACATCCTTTCTTTGTGCCAAAGGTTTTTATTGCTTTCATGCATCAACACCCAGTCTGTGGATGGGGGATGTGACATTCAGTTTCACTTCCTCTTATTGTGCCTGTCATCCACAATCAGTCATTCAGTTATTTTAGCATTAAACCGTACAGACACTGAAAGGAACAAATGTAAGTCTATAATGCATTTAATAACAAAATGCAAAACAATTATTGTCTTCGTCTTTGAGGAGTAAACTGAAAAATGGTTTATGGTGTAGGCTAATACATCTGAATGTCCAAAATATCATGGGCATATTCCAGTTATTGAGTTGCACCTACATTTGCATAAACCACATCTTATAGGAACAGTTTTACATTTTTTGAAATATATTTATTTGCTTTCTTGCTGAAAATCACTTGAGAGCATCGATACCACTCTCATAAATGTTCAGAAATACGTAGCTGGAGCCAGCAGCCCACCTACATTTGTCTCATAACAAAAACTCACTGTTTTACGGGGGTCATGTGCAAATTTTTGCAAGATATAACGTTTGCTGGTAGGTGGGTTTCGTTACCCTTGGACAGAATCAGGCTAGCTGTTTCCTCCTGTTTACAGTCTTTATGCTAGGCTAAGCTAACTCAGTGCTGGCTGTAGCCTCATATGAGAGTGGTATCAATCTTTTCATCTCACTCTTCGCAAGAAAGTGAATTTTGAACACATCTGCTTCCCTTTATCTGTATCAAACTCCTTTGTTCTTCCTATAGATGTTATAAAGGAAATCAATAAGGGATAGTTTAGTTTACTTTGATTCAGTCAGAGATAGTAGGAAAAAAGTAATCTGAGGTAACATGGCGGAGCCTGGTTGAGTTTTAATGATAATTCAGGAATCCCTCAGGAAGCAACTAAGATCACGTGTTCCATGGACTTTTAAAATGTCCCAAGGCTCAAGGTGATACCTAGCCCCAGTTTGATGTTCATTCTTCTATCCAGTGAGGCAAAAAAAAGCAAAAACAGCTTTGAAGTTGCTTGAAAAAAAGCAAAGATCCTTCATTTGAGCCCTCCAACTGTTAACAGTTTGATAAAAATCTGTGTTACTTTGTTACCATGCTAATGCAGATTTTTCATGCCCTCCTCATGGTCATGGGCAAGAACAGAGGGAGCAGTTTGCCTGAGCACAGTGTCTTGTTTTTTAGAGTCAGGCTCATGTGTGCGTGTGTGTGTGCGTGTTTGTTTGGAACATGCCGTCTGTTTTTGAGGGTCTTGGCGTATTTTCCAAATTGTTATCATCCCAAGAGAGCATTGTGCACGTGTGAGTCACATGTTGAATCGCTCCGTCTGTGGTGCGCAGGGGTTACAGTGTACAAGGGTAAGCTCTTCCCTCTTTGGTCAGTTACATTCAGGCTCTCTTGTTATTGGTCCAAAGAGTTTCAGCTGTATTCTTATTGGCTGGCAGCTGTACCCTGTATCCCACCCCATACCAAACTATAAGCATGTGACTTTGTTTAACTTTGTTCCATGTTTCACTGTGTGAGGGAGAACATCTCCTCCTCACTTCCTCCTCAAACTTATCTTCTACCAACCTCAGCAGAAGTAATTAGAGCAGAGGTTTCTCAAAACACACGCACACAAACAAAGTGTCTCAGGTGTGAGTGCATTTGAACAGCCATTAGCCAGGTGAAAGTCATTAGCCAGGTCTACATACAGAGTGGCTAATCAGTCTGAGGGGAGCAGGGTATATGTTTTTTGTGTATGTGTGTGAGACAGAGGAGGAGATTGGTCTTTAGGGGCTTTTAAGAAAAAACTGCCTCATTTAATCGTGAGCAGAGTGTGTCTCGAGAGATTTCCTCCTGTGTTCATGTCTGTATATCATTCAAGCCTAGCTGCTTAGCTCATGCTTGTATGAAGTGTTGGAGGTCTCTGTGCTGTTGTAGTTACATCCTGTACTGTGTGATTTTCTTTTATTCCTTGAAAGAAAAACAACATCCCCATCCTCTACCTTTCCACCTAAAGATGAAAATGAAAAATTATTTACCTTTTATTTTAGTGAAAAAACTGATTGATTAAAATAACAGTCACCTCATTGTGTTATTGAACATTAGGGTGAGCTTGTTGCACACTGATATGGGTATTTAAACGTTATTTGTCAGACACACACTGCACTATGGCTGTACACATACAGTAACATATACACAAACCAATCAATGAGTTGATTGACACAAAACATTTGGCATAAATTTAGATAGTTAATCATTTATGTCTTTTTTAGCTTTGCTTTTAGTCTTTTTTGTTACTAAACCGTTACTTATTCTTTGGTTTTGACTGACTGTTGTTCAGATAAAATGAGCAACTTAAATTAGTCAGCTCTGTAAAACT